CCCGAAGCTAAGTGATCCAAAGTTTCCTTTAAATTTATTTGTTTTGAACGATATAGTTTCTTCATTTTCAGTGCATGTTTACTTTTACCTACATACATACATTAAATGTAGGCCCTTTATCAGGGCAATCCCAGTTGGGAAGACAGAGAAAATTTAAAGGATTTCGTCCCCCAACCCCTTCGGGGAGGATAGCATACGGCCCTGGTCTGCGTCAATCACGGTGATATCAATCGAGGAGATAGCCCCAGTAGAGGTGGCCTTTCCCCGAGAGTTTTCGGGGAGAGCATACCTGAAGGTCCCTGGCCGCCGGATACAAAGGGTGTGCGGTAGTTCCGCTTGGAAAATCGGTTATAAGTAGCATAACTTTAGGTTAACAGATAAACAAGTTAGCATTGACTTTGATCCATTAATTGATCAATAAATTAATTAGGCACATTCTTCACTGGAGCAGCGAATAATGGCAGGAGTTTTCGAAGGGTGGAACAACATCTTCCGCGAATGTTGTACGCGGGTCCGCAACCGCAGAGGTGATGCTACTATCGCGATTCGAAAGCGCGTGGCAAGGGTTCTAGGCGGTTACTATTTTCGGCCACCCGCTATTGGTGTCTGCGTCTCGCTCGTCCCCTGCGCTCTGTCGTCTTCGCGTCTGTTTTCACGCATTGACGCCCAGTATCTCTCTATTGACAATTTCGTAGACTTGTCCACCGCTTAAAGAATGGCCTTATTTTCGGTGTTTTAGACGCTGTCCTCTGCTATTGCGCTGTAATGAATGTACTACAGAGGCCGTGACAGGAGTACTACGTCGCTTCACGCTTGAACACTGCCGATTCGAAAATATTACTTACAATAGAATTGGATTTCGACACGGCTAGACTTCCTAGAAAATACTGGTTATTTGTCGTTTTCCAATAAAGATTACCATTGGATAGCACCTTGTGGTGCGGCGTTTTACCCAGCAGTGTCTGTGCCCTTTCGTCCAATGTGCTCTCTCGTCTATCCTCTCCTTGGCGCCCAGTGTCTCTTCGTCTTAGCACAGTCCGCTCTACGAGAAAAGAGGCAGTTCTTTCGTCTTTTAGATTTTTTTTTCGGTGAATATCATTCTTTCTCCCCTTCACTGCGGATTCCCTTTACACCTGTGCTTTCAGTGACTTGTGCATAAAAACACCAAACTGACCATGGAGTGCGCCCCTAAGGGGAATGATATGCAGCCTGAGAAGTGACTAAGTCTAAATGAACTCAGCAAGAAACAAAGGTTTGAACCATACCTAGCCAAAAAGGTTCTAAAAGGCTATTTTCCAACTGAACACAGTTTTGAAGGGAGTAGAGCTGCAAAATGTGAAATCCCTCACGTTTCTTTCTTCCACGAGTGTCTCTTTACGCTGAACAGGCAGCATTTCATTGAGCATCACAATTTTCAATGCATTGAAATTTTCGCAGAAACTCAATTCAAAGAATCCTGTTCATTTAAACTGTTCTATGTGGGACACATTACGAAAATCCATTAACTCGAGGCGAGTAGTGTTCAAATCAGCTTGCTAATTCAGTCACAGTATTCTGGTATGTGATATTACCCAGCCCAGTAACCTACACTTCCACTAGGAGGTATCCAAAACCCGACATTCCTCGAGACGTAGTTATCCATTTCACGCCTCTTGACCAAAGTCCCAAGGAATTTCGACCAGATTTTCGATACTAATCGAGATCTTGCCATCAGAACGGTTGCATATTTTCATAATTGGCACTAGTAAGCTACAATTTGTTTCCCGACGTAAGTCCCTGCCTAAGTTGTGAGCACATTAACTACACCTCATACCCAATTGATCACCTCTGGTGACCCTGTTAGCCCTGAAGAAAACACCCAAACTTCTAAGTCCCTATTACAAGATTCTGCGCGCTACCGACACCGCCACAACACACACTTCACCATTAAGCCGTGAGGTCCCACCCAATTTTTGTCCGCAAATTTTTTCGCGACTACCGCTATGGATTTTCGGCTTTTCCCTCGTCGCACGTACCTGTTTGCTGATCTTCTTCGGATAGCGCTCTCGTTGCGTACCGCGCACTCGCGCTGCCCGGTACTATTCAAACAAGTGAACGAGCGGTCAGTCTCATTTCAATGACGATGACCATCTGGTCGCCGGCTATCCTGCTCTTGGCCCTAAGGGCTTCTGTGGTATTCGCTGTCGACACGGGTCTATCGCCTCATCTACAACTGATCAGCTACGACCTTACAGTAAAAATACCGGACCCTACGGTTTCCGAGGGCTTTCACTGCCTCCGTGGTTATGCACTTTATTCTCACAGCCACATCCTCGAATATCACTCTTCATGCGAAGAATCTTCATAATACAAGCAGGGTGTCCATGATTTCTGCGAATGACTCTTTCGAGCCAATTCTCATCAGTACCCGCTTTCACCCAGAAACCGTCGAATTCACCTTCCTACGGCCCCTACCCAAGGGACAATACCTGCTCACTATCGGTGAATACAGCGGCCATTTCACCGACGGCTCTACAGGAGTGATTCAACGGAATCAGAAACTCTTCACCACCCATCTACAGCCGAATTTCGCCCGACAACTGCTACCATGCATTGATCACCCGTCTGTGAAAGCTGTGTTCAGAGTCACTGTCATTCATCGAGTAGGCACACAGGCTCAGTCGAACACCATTGCCACGGATGTCTCTGTGGTGAACACCACATGGCAGAAGACCGTCTTCGCTCCGACACCACCACTTCCTGCCTATTTGGTCACTTTCTCGGTGATGCCGCCCAGCTATCAAGAGGTCAGCACGATTTCTTTTAGAAAAACGTTTTCCGTATGTTTGGTTTACACCGTTCGTGCAAGTGCAAAACGTCTAACACATTTGTGTTTCGTGATTTTTTCTTTCTCAGCTCTCTCTTCAAGCTATTGCTTCTCACCTGCCTTTAAGTCACGTTTATTATTCGATTTCTTTATTATCCTTAAATTATGAATAGATGAAATATCGTATATCTGAAGAAATCTTCAGGACCCTACTCCTTTTTTACGACGACCCGCTAGCCATATAAAAATGTTCCACCCATCAGCGGTGATGTTGGTGGAAACAAACAGCATACTGGTGGAGAATACGACCCCAACACCATAACTGTTTCTTTGTTTATAAAGTATTTGATTCTAGCACCACATGACACACACCAACTCCGCCCCCAACATTATTCGACAACCGCCGCCGAGTGTGGGGGTAATTGCTGGAAATTTTACACATTTTTCTCTCTAAATTACGACCGTTTCCCCTCTTCCCAATCATATGCTACCCACCATTCCCCCCCCCTTCTTGCAAAACTAACAAATATGACTCCTTCGTGGGTTTTCACGGACGGTTGCCCGTGGTTCCAACCTCGCCTGCCGCGCATCTACTTCACATGATTCGTAAACATAAGGAACAATATGAAACCCAATCTTGGGCTCACAAGTTACTCCGATCGGCTCATCCTGCTTACCAGCAGCATGTTCTTCTAATCTCAATCCTTTTCCTTTCACCTGTCCACTTCTATTCTCTCTCATACTTTCTCCCTCTAGGCATCTGTATTTCATTACATTCTATGTCCCTCTTTTTCGTCACTTTTTTCTATCTCTCTATCTACAATATCGATGGAAGTTCATGAGAAAACGATGTCTTATTGATTTTGTTCCTCAACGTTCATCTTTTACCTCCTATGCATCGCTTATCTCTTTACCTCATTTTTACCTCCTTACCTCTTTACCTCATCTTTACCATCATATCTTTACCTCCTATGCTCTCTCTCTTCCTTTTCTTACCTCATATGGCATTCTTTTCGCACATCCAGCTCCTCATTCCTATCGCATTTAGCTCAGCCACAGTCCTTTCTGGACTACCCCATTCACATGAATCCCTTTCGTTTCCCCCCAATTTTTTACGCTGAACTGAATTTTAGCCAATGCCTTTCACAGCTTTGGTTTCTTAACTGTTCTACTAGCCTCCAAAGCAGCTCCGACGCTCTCTGCTTATCCCTTTCCTGCTATACTTCTTTTCATTGCCCTTTCGGCGACAAAAAAGCTGTACAATCTCCACTGAAACTGCTGTATCCTTGGGATCGATTCATATCCTGGTCAACCCAACCTCTATCCCGTTTAGATAAAAATTCCACATCAGTCAGAATGGAATAATTCAAAATTAGGGGTTGAAATTGTATGCGCGAAGTGCCTCGGAACGCACATTAAAATCAGAGACTGCGCTTAAAGTGTAGGCAGGACTATCTATTCGTCTTGAGGCGTTACACTTTTCATTCCCTCCATCAGGGCACTTAAAGTACACCTAGAGCTCACATGCAAGCACCACCCCACTTCTTGATCAATCCTCGGCACACTGCCCTTTACCCTTTACTGCTATCTGAGATATAGCATGCATCGTTGCGCTCAATCCTTGAAGAAGACCAGAAGTACGGTGTAGTAATAAGTAA